ATTTCATTATAGTAATTGGCTTTGTCTTCTCAAGCTGCTCTTTGAAATCTTCTGTTCAGCTCTTTTATCTTGTCATTTCTTCCATTTGCTTTAGCAACACTCCACTCAAGGGCAAGTTTCAAAGTCTCTTCTGACATCCATTTTGGTTTTTAATTCCTTTCTTGTCTTTTTAATGAACTTTTGGTTTCTTCATGGATGATGTTGATGTCATCCCACAAAACCTCTCGTTTTCAGTCATTGGTGTTCAATGCATCAAATCTGTTCTTAGATGGTCTCTAAATTGAGGAGGGATATCATCAAGGTCATATTTTGGCTCTCATGGACTTGCTTTAATTGTCTTCAACTTCAGCAAATGTAAAATGGTCAATACAATAGATGTTAATATCCTTTGCTATAGGCACTGAAGATGGGGCAATCTACTTCCGTAATGATACTGCCTCGGAAACCCAAGGAGGGGTCGCTACGAGTCGGGTCTGACTCAACGGCAAACAACAACAACAACAACATAGGCACTGTGTAAAAGACAGCTTCTTCCCCAAAACTGATTATAATTAAGACAGCAAAGAGTTTGAGGGCAACATCTTTGCCTTATTCATCTTTGCATGCCCAATGCTCAGCACAAGGCCAGGCACAGAGTTGTTGTTAGGAGCCATCGAGTCAATTTTTTACTCACAGCAACTCCATATGACAGAGTAGAATTGACCCATAAGGTTTCCTTGACTGTAACCTTTACAGAAGCAGATTGCCAAGCTGTTCCCCTACAGGGCAGCTGGGTGGGTTTGAACTATGAACTTTTCAGTTAGCCAAGCACTTAACTATTGCACCACCTGGGCTCCTAACCATAGAGTAACAAACCAAACGCACTACCGTCGCATTAGATCCAACTCATAACGACCCCTCCTTGGGTTTCTGAGGCAGTATCACTACAGAAGCAGATTTCCTAACCTTCCTTCCAAGGTGTGGCTGGTGGGTTTGAACCACCAGCCTTCTGGTTAGCAATCAAATGCCTTAGGCACTATGCCACCAGCATGCTTATTTGCTCTGCTGAGTAGAAAGTTATTGAAAGTGTGGCTCTGATGTCAATGACTGCTGAGTTCCAGTATCTTTCACCATAGCTGTATAATTAGTGCATGATATTCTTGGCCTTGGTTTGTTTGTATATAGTGTGAGTTTAACAGGGCCATCTCGTCGAGCTGAGAGAGCTAAATGATAAATAGCAGCTACCACTACATAGGAATCTTTGGGTAGTGAAAGTGGTTAATGCACTCAGCTGCTAACCAGAAGTTGGAAGTTCAAGTCTACCCAGAGGAGCCTTGGAAGGATGTACCTACTTCTAAAAAAATTAACTATTGAAAACCTAATGGAGAACATGGGGTTGACACACATGGGGTTGCCAAGAGTCAGAGTTTACTTGACAGTAACCTAAAGGAAAAAAAGAAATCACTAGATAAATAGAATTTCATAGAGGACATTAGCAAGGGGGATATAATTAAGTGTTAATTCAATCAAATAAACAACAGAGAATGAACTATGAATATTGATCTCAAGAACGTACAGTCTACGTTGCCAGTAAATAATCCTCAAAACAAAGCTATTGCCAACAGGGTAACTAGACAAAGTGGAAAGTAGACATTTTGCCTAAGACACCCCCAGTCTTCTTTCTTATCCCACCTTCTCTGTTCCCTCTTCCATCTCATCTCATCTCTGGATAATTACAGATACTGGAGACTTTTGTATGAGTCAGAATCAACTCAGTGGCAGTGGGTTTGGTTTTCATTTGGAGGATTTGATGGCAAAGAAGTAGAAGCAGTGAGAAAGGGCTCTGGATCCTTGGCTACAAGGGTTTTGGGGGCTAGGATTGAATTTAAGGGAGAGGAGAGAGAAAAAGGGGGAATGTATCTGTTATCTAGTCCAAAGATTCCCAATCACTAAAATCAAGGGTAGGAAATATTGGTCCCTTCAGCCTTGGGCAGGGCTTGGGGTCACCAAATGTCCCCAGCCACTTGTCTTGAGCACCAATAAATTCAGGCAGTTATCCCAGCCCACCATCCATATTACCATTTTTCTAAGTGTGCCAGAACATGAACAGGGTGGGGAATGAGAAGCAAAGACCCAGTCTGAACCAGGTGCCCCGATCAGATTTAAACCATTAAACAGATCAGAGAATTGTGATGATATCATTTCAGGAACTCTCTTGCCACCTAATCCCAAACTCCCCTGTCTTCAGCTGTGTAATTTTTAGGCAAAAGACTAAAAAGGTGATCAGTTTATAAATATATTTCAATCAAGGTGTTAATGACTACCTCATCCCTTTCTCCTTAGAGAGAGTGAAAAGCTACATAAAGTAGCAAAACTGAGCCCTAGAGTCAGTCACAACGGATTTGAAGGGAAAAGACAAAGTGAGCACAAGGTAGAAGCCCGACGCCCTGAAAACAAACTGCACTATTTGGTCTTGGCCGTGGGCTTCTCTTCCCCTGAGATCCCATTATACATGGCCCCTACTGAGCACTTCCCCCAAAATTTGTGGACAAACAGAGCCAGGTGAGATCACTGTGCCCAAGAGGTCAAGGGAGTTTTCATGGAGGAAGTGGTCAGGCTTGCACTCTGAATAATAAGTGGAAGAATCAGGATGGGCAGGAAGAAAGACTAGGGCATTCTTTTGAGGATTACCCTCCAAACTCTCACTGAGTCTGCCTTAAAGGCTGTAAATCACACCTTCAGCCTATTTTATAGACCTACATATGGCTGTGTTCCTTCCAGCACTTTGTATGACAGATATTAGCTCACAAAGTGGTAGGGAAAACCTGCCGAACTAACAATAATAATAATTGTTTATATTTATTGAGCAATTACTATGGTCAGGAACTGTGAGGAGTGCATTATATTTCAGTTAATGTTTCCAGTAATCCAAAGAGGTAGGGTTCTTATTATCACCATTTTACAGATGAGAAAATCAAGGCCTCCAGCAAGAAAGTGGTAAAGTTGGGTAAAGAGCTTGAGCACTTAACATGACAAATCTGCAATACAGGAACCAGTAGTAAAAGCAAGCATTGTGGTTAATAAGAAAGAAGAGGGGCTAGCAGGAGAGTATAGGGACTAAGGTCACACCATCCCCACCCCATCTCCTTTATAGAACAAAAGCAGGCAAAATGGAGAATTGCTTGCTCCTCTTCCTCCCATTAAGAGAACAGCAGCCCCGTGCTGGTGAGTTTGAGGTACGCATTTGACAGGCCCGTGGAGGAGAGTGGCTTTGGTGATCACCTGTTAGGTTTGTGTCTGTGATAATGATTTCATCCACATAGAATGAGCCCATCTCCTGAGCCTGAGGAAGGAGGACTATCCGATGAACCAACACTGAGGTGTTGACCAGAAGAGGCTGCAGATACCCAGAAGGATGCATACAAGTCTCCCAGAGGTCAGCACAGGTGAACAGCCAGCTGAAAAACAAGTGCCAGGAACAAATAGGCCTCTCAGTACACCAGTCCAGTCCTGTGCACCATTACAGCCCTACATCTCAAACATGGGAGCCTGTGGACGGTGCGACCAGAGAAGAGGCCCCATGAACCCCTGCCCCCAAATGGTCCTGTGTGTCACAGGTGCAAACATTCCATCCTACCCAAGATGAGCTCTGTTCGGCTTTTGATAAATACTTTTTCCACTTGCCATTGAGTCGATTCTGACTCGACAACGCCATGTGTGTCAGAGTAGAACTTGCTCCACAGGGTTCTCAATGGCTGCTGTTTCAGAAGTAGATCAGCAAGCTTTTCTTCAGAGGCACCTTTGGGTGGACTTGAACCTGCAATCCTTTGGTTAGCAGCTGAGCATGTTAATCATATGCACCACCCAGGGACTCCTTGGTGTAACACTAGTGAGTAATGTTTTAAGCCAAGCATTCATTCATGATACTCAATACCAACATTTTCAAATTGCCATGTAAATATGCATCTTGGGCAGATTGTGTATTCAGGCTCTAACCGCAGAGAAGATTGATACTTCTGGACATTACTGGACTCATTTGGGTTTAAAACCACTGACAAAACCCAAAAGAGACATGTGGAAAGAGCACTGAATCAAGGGATCAGGATGCCTGGATTGTAGTCCAGGATTTTTTTGTTCACTCACTGAGTAAGCATTCCAAATCCAAAACCAAACCCACTGCCATCAAGTCGATTCCAACTCATAGCAACCCTACAGGACAGAGTAAAACTGCCCCATAGGGTCTCTAAGGCTGTAATCTGTAAAACAGACTGCCATATCTTTTTCTTGTGAAGCAGCTGGCAGATTCAAACCTCTGACCTTCTGGTTAGCAGCCAAGCACTTAACCACCAGGGCTCCTGAATGAACTTTAAAAAAATGACAAATTCTATTGTCCCTAATTTTCCTCATATTTAATGTCAAGGAATATTCTCTAAGGTCTTTTCCAAATATGATGTTCAATGATCCTATCCTTCTGAGAAATGCCAGAGTTCACCTAGGAAATAATGTATTCTTAACTAAAAACAAAGCAAAAAATCAGATGCCATGTAGTCGATTCTGTCTCATGGCAACCCTATGTGTGTCAGAGTAAAACAGCGCTCCGCAGGGTTTCCATGCCTACAACCCTTTGGAAGCAGCCAGGCCCTTATTCCATGACACCTTTGAGTAGATTCAAATCTCCAAGCTTCCAGATAACAGCTAAGAGCATTAATCATTTGTAGCACTGAAATATTCCTTGTCTCCACCCTCCCCACACAGGTATGCCCTTCTTAACAATTAACTGCTCTTAAATCTAACTTCTTTGTCAAGTAAAATGTGTTCAAATTCTCAGGTTAGTACCAAGGACCACATATAAGAGACTGTTATATGTCCACTTCAAGTGGGCCTTTCTCCCCCATGTAGCTACTAATCACAGCTGTGTACACTCCTCTCACAGCTCACACACATAAGCTACCTCTCAGGCCTGGTCTCCATGGGACTCCAGTCACAGGTGATGTTCTTCACGATGCTTTGAAAATCAATTGTGAAGGTCAAGTTCATCTTCAGGATGTCATTTATGTAGCCTTTGTATGCAAAGCACAGCTATAGACACCAAATAAATCCTTCAGTTCTATTAGTGCAAGAAGCAGCCATGTAATCAATATGTATTGAGAAAAACCCACATCCCTAGAACCTTACCATGTACTATGAGATAAAAAGGGCCCAGTTCCTGCCCTCCTAGAGCTTACCAGCTAGAAAGGCCAATACTTTTGATTAAATTGTCATTTGTTCAACAGAGAGGTATTCAATGTCTAGCTGTGCTTGGTGGTGAAGATTTGAGTGAAAAAAAAAAAAAAAAAACTCTATGCCTAGTGTCTCCCTTGGAAAATAACTATTTTTATCCAATTACCTGTTGAACTTTGAGCAAGACACTTAACTTCTCTGACTCTCAGTTCCTCAACACTCACTCCCAGGCATCTTTGATTTCTAACTCTAAGTTACATGCAAAATTGTGTGACATTAAGAAGACTTTAAAGCACTATTTGCATTTTGGACCAAATCATTCTTTGCTGGGGGCTTGGGGGCTGTCCTGTGCATTGTGAGATGTTTAGCAGCATTCCTGGGCTCTACCCACTAGACAATAACAGTACTTCCCATCCCTAGTTCAGTTGGGACAACCAAAAATGTCTCCAGACATTGTCAAATGTCCCCTGGAGGGAAAAATTGCCCTAGTTTGGAACTGTTGATCAAGAGTAAGGGCTGGTAGGTGGATGGTGACCCTGATATGAACATTTAGCCCCGGATTCCACTGCAGCCTGACTAGAAAAGGAGTTGTAACCCCTTTCATGAGCTCAGCAACCCCTTCAAGGCTCACTCTGGTTCCCAAAGTGAGATTAGCAGTAACTACTTTTTGAAGGGCAGCGATGCTACTGAAGCAAAGGGTTTAAGATGGACATCTGTCAGTAAATCCATCAATAATAACAATAACTGTAACAAATAACAATAACTAGGCCTTCCCATTGTGCAAGCACTTAAACTAGATTATCTCATTTAATCTTCATCACAATCCTGAGAGAGCACATTTTTACCCATTTGATAGACAAGTAAACTAAGGTACTTAAGGAAGACACCTGAGAGCATGCAGAGTGGTGAGCCAGGATTCATACCCAGATTGTCTGACTACATAGTTTGAATTTTTATACCTGGAGAGCAAGGAAAATACTGAAGCATATATAAATTTCTATAGGCATCACAGCTAATACAGAGGCATTGCCATGTAATAAGTCACTTGTGGGGACTAGGACTGTCTGTTAGGTACACACTAGAAAGAGAAATTAAGAGGCCCAGAAACTCAGTCTAAAACCCCTTGGGCAAACCACAGCAATCACTACTTTGTGCTTCTGTTTGTTTAGTCTTAAACACAGACAAAGAGTATCCATTCCCTGCCCACCCTGCCTGGAAGTGTGAGGACTGCTACTTACATGTGCATACTGGTCTAGCCGATAGCCCTTCTGGCCAGCTGGGGGTGTCAGGACAAGCTGTCCAGGCTGCCGGAGGCTGAACCTTCCACAGAAGGGTTCTGTCACACTGGTGAGCTCCCCATCAGAGCTGAAACCTTGTAGACCTGGATGCAGTTTGCATAAAATGGGACATTGTTGAAAAGCAAAGACCAAGCCCATCAGGTGGGAATCTACTTCAGATAATGGGAGAAGGCAGGCATCAATGTAAAATAAGACAGAGCTTTCCAACATGTGTGCAGGAAATAGGTTATGCATTCACCTTGGCATTGGTCCCTCTGCCATTGGGAGAGCTGGGCATGGCTGGGGGTGGCAGCACCCTCAGCCTAAAGCTCCAGCTGTGAGAACCTGTTGTCTAGCCCAGAGAACCAAGTATTTCTTATCATTTCTATATGTACATGAAAAGCTGTCCAGAAACAAAGAGAATAGGAATATTGATTGGAATTTAGTTCATCTCAGCAGTATTTTTTAAAAACACACCTTCACATGTTAAGAATTTTTTAAGGCTACTCTCTTATGTAATGATTCCTTTAGATGAGATGCAAAGCTGAGTTGAACAAGATTTTACAGTTTTGCTGTTTGCCACCTACATCGATCTGCTGCCTTTTATTCAATGTGTGCATGGGAATATTGGGGATCACTGTGCTCCACCTGGGAGTCCCAGAGTGGTGCAAACATTGATGCACTCAGCTCTAACTGAAAAGTTGGAGGTTCAAGTCCACCCAGAGGCACCTGAGTAAAAAGGCCTGGCAATCAGCTTCTGAAAATAAGCCACTGAAAACCCTATGGAGCATAGTTCTAAACTGACACTCATGGGGTCATTAGGAATTGGAAACAACAGCAACCGACGTGGTTGCTCCACCTCACAGATCTGGAGGAATGCCTTTTCTCTCTATTGACGTCCGCACTAAACATCTCCCTCCCAAGCACCTCGCCACTCCCTTGGCCACTCAGCATAAAAATCCAGTTTCCATAGATTCATTTGACTATTGGCACCTTGGAAAGAAAATGAATATTGTTCCCATTTTACAGAAAAAGAGAGAAGACAATGATGGGAAAGGAAAGAGGATCAGAATTTGTCAAATCAGGAAGAGCACCTTGTTCGAATCCAAGCCGGAGAAGGATGCTAGCCGAAAGTGGTTCCAGTTTGCATTTTACTGCAAGTAACTCCTCTATGGATGTTTGAATCTAATCAAAATAAATAAATAATAAATGCCACTAACTCATACTGTGGGGATAAAGATCACCAGTAGTTCTCCCATCTTCTCCCATTATCTGAAGTAGGTTCCCACCTGATGGGCTGTGGCATTTGTAGAGATTGGCTGACTAGAGGTATTGTCCCAAGTAAGGAAAAAGTTCCCTCTGCCAGATACATTCAGCATCTAAAAATTCAAGGGAACAAGACTAAATTGCATGCATTAAGTAAACCAGGGAGGCAATCTAAAAACATGGGATACACTTTCTCATCTTGTTACTTCTTTTTTATCATACTTTTAATTTCCTAAACTCACTATCATTTAGAAAACACAAGTTCCAATGAGAACTTGTGTTCTTGAAATTACATGTGTCTGTCTCCCTACTTAACATACCCCTAACCCCTGTGCCTTAACTTCAGAATGTGAGACTTAAATGTTTCTGTTTCCATTACCCACTGGGCACAACACACTTTGCTATGGTATAACACCTATAAGACTGTTAATCTCTCATATAACATTATTTTCTACTTTGTCCTATGGTTATTTGTATACATAGCTTGCTTTTAGACTGTAAACTATAGAAAGCATAGTTTATGTTGATTCATCCTTGCCACCAAAATGTGCACAACAAAAAGTACACCAAAATTGTTCAATAAAAAATATGGGGGACAACTGAGAGAACCAAAGGTCTTGACCTTGACATAGTAGGCTTAGATAGACAGTATATGGGGAAATAGGACCTGAATCAGTTAAAAAGCTATGGAGTTGTATAGTAGTGCATGTGTTTGCATTTGTGTTTGTGTGTGTTTGCATGTGTGTCTATTTGCATGTGCATGTGTTTACATGTGTGTGTGTGTGTGGAGGACCTCCATCAATACTGGGGAACATGTTTATAAAGAATAATTACCTGGAAGTTAAACTCCTAAAACTAATTCAAGGAGTAAGATAAATCTCAAATAATAAGACTTTGCATCTTTCAGAATGTCCTCACCACTCTGTTGGATAGATATCCTATGCCTTAGATGGCCAGTCTATAATTATGACTCAGGTCTCCTGGCTCCCAGCTAGTGATCCTTCTACTGAGTTAAGATTTTTTTAAGAGTTCAGGCCTAGTTCCTAGCCCCATGGGACAGGGAAGAGATATAAACCTGTATTTCAGGAAGCCTCTGGGCACAGACTCGGATTTGATGCTTCTCCCGGAGGTAGGTGTTAACCACATTGGGATTCAGCCAGGTGTTGTGGATCTGGACACCAATCCTTAGCCCCCTGCTGGGGCCTATTCCATGATGCTCTGCTTCCAGGTAGTACTTGACTCCACCTAATAGCTCCAACTTGGGGCTCTTCCGGTGCCAGGTCTCTTCATTCCCATTCTCCTCCCAGGAGTCAAACCAGTCAGCAGTGCCAACCCTGATTGAGGCCACCTCCATCTGTGTCCAAATAAGCAAACCAGGATCAACACTATGAAGTTTCTAGGCATCTCTTTCTCAAACAGGAAGTGTCCAGACAGCCACAAGAGATTTTTAGCCTTCTCCATATTGGACCCTTCCCTCAAGGGAACCAGAATGACTGGTCTGACTTTTCCAACATGATGATGTTGTTGGTAGGTACCATTAGTCAATTACAGCTCATAGCAAACCCCTGTGATAGAGTAGAACTACCCCGTAGGGTTTTCTAGGCTGTAATCTTTACAGAAGCAGATCATCAGATCTTTCACCCACATAGCCACTGGGTAGGAGCTCTGGTAGCATAGTGCCTAAGGCATTTGACTGCTAACCAGAAGGCTGGTGGTTCAAACCCACCAGCCACTTCTCAGAAGGAAGCTTGGGCAACCTGCTTCCATAGTGATACCACCTCGGAAACCCAAGGAGGGGTCTCTATGAGTCAGGTCTGACTCGACAGCACATAACAACAATAACAACAGCCACTGAGTGGGTTCAAACTGTCAGCCTTTCATTTAGCAGACAAGTGTTTAATTGCTGTGCCACCAAGGCTTCTTTCCAACATGTTAGCTCAGTTGAAAATTTGTCTGTGGCTGTGTATATGCTTCTCCATCCCTCATTCTCTCTCTCAATTAGTAAATACTCAAATGAGTCTCAATGGATCATATTTAGAGTAGAAATAACTAACATGAAATTCTAGGTTTGTATTACACTGTAGATAAAGTAATATAAACCCTTTGAGAACTCTAGATTGGTGACACCATGACACAAATCTAGGACATTTTTCTAATCAACTAGTAAAGCAATTTCATAGAAGCACATTAATAATTTGAGAAAAAAATATATGGTTCTTTGTCACTTGGCAATCTCCTTCTGTAGTGATACCACCTTGGAAATCCAAGGAGGGGTCTCTATGAGTTGGAATTGACTCAATGGCAGTGAGTTTGTGTTTTTTTTTTTTTTTTTTTTTTTTTAATTTGTCAGTGTCCCTAGTAAATTTTGATTGTTTGCTAAAGGTGCGTTTTCTCATCCTTCAAACTTTGTGGGGATATTGCAGCATAACACAAGCTACATCTCTACCCAAATTTAATGAGAAGGCACATGTTTGGAGTCAGACTAACCTGTGTTTGAAATCTGAATCTGTTGCATACTATCTAAGTGGTCCTGGACTGGCCATATAATCTTACTAAGCCTTTATTTCCTCACCAGGACAATGGAGCTAAATATACCTGGCAGAGATGCTCTGTGTGTGTGTGTGTGTGTGTGTATAGTAGTTGTTGTTGTTGTTAAGTGCCGTCGAGTCGTTTCCGACTCATA